TTGGTTTCAGCAAATGCCCAGGGGCTCCATGGCTCTGCCAAACTTCTGACAGCCCTGCAACGTAATCCCAGCTTATAGTGACTCATAAAGAAAAATGACAGGGCTCCCATCTAACAAGCTGCTGCTCTGTCCTCCAGCCAGCCACTGCCAGTGGGGAGCCTGGGCAGTGGGTTCCCTGCGAAGCCCACCCTGCACCTTCCTGCTGCAGCCCTGTCCCATCCCTTGCTGCCCTGAGGGTTTCTGAACCCAGGAAAATGACGAAAAAAATGAGGATGATACCACCCTTAGAAGGATACACTCATCTGCAGTGGGATAGATCATGACTCTGTGGAAGGTCACTTTGCTATGGCTGCATGCATACTGCATTGAAAGCAGAACCAGGATGGAGAGACCCTCCGTGCATGGACAGCCTGGAAATATCAGTGGGCTTACCCCACTGCCAGAGGAGGCCCCGGGGGGCTCATTGCACTCACCCATGTGCCTCATCCTTGCTCTTCTTATCACATGCAAATTCCTCTTCCAAATCTCTGGGAGCTCTGCAGTATGCACCAAACCTGTTGCCTGCTGTGCTGCAGTGCTAACAGGTTTTTTCTGTGTCCTCTAGAGTAAACACAGAGAGAATTTGCTCCCCTTTTCTCCCCTTCCAGCAATTCACCTGTTGAGATGCAAACCTGCAGAATGAAAGTATGAAAACTACTTCACACTGGTGCTCAAATGACAGAGCAAGCTGGGTATCAGCGCAGCTGGACTAAAGGGTTTCTCCTTATCCAGATGATGTGCCTGCTGGGTAACCCCTTGGAAGCCTGTTCAGCCGTTACCTGTGCCCCTCTCTGGGACACAGCAGAGTGGATTCACTGCATTCCTCAAGATCAGTTTGTTAATGGAAATATTTGGCTTAATTAACTGACATAATGACAATTCTGCAGGTTGTTGGAGACAGGAATGATGCAGAGTGTGCTCAGAGTTGGATGAAGTTTAAGTAGACTCAGGGTCCTATTTCCAGAGAAAATACCAGTTTCTCTGCCACATGTTATTTCTAGTTTATGAAGTATGGATTTTTTTTCTCAGTGGCATGAACTGTTGCACCAGGCACAGGCTTTTCACACCTTGTGCCTTAAACCTTCATGGAAATAACAAGGTGACAGCACTGACTTTTCTCTACCAGCCCAAGGGATCCTTGGGTGGCTTTTGCAGAAAGAGGCATCCAAAGTACCACTGCTTAAAGACAGGTGAGAAAAAAATCTTGGCCCAACAAGAGACCACAGTTGAGCTTTCTTGAGATAAAGGCAAGGGGGATGGGGCAGGCTGTTTTAGTTTTCAGTTCTTTCAGTGCCTGTTTGCTGTGTGTCTTGGAGATCTGCTTGCCAGCATGCTGAGGGTGATGCAGTAGAAAAACTCAATATCACGGGGCAAACAGCACTAAAACAGCTTTCTTTATTTTCCTTTCTGGAGTACACATCTTAGTGACTTGTCTTTCACTTGGATACAGCCCTGCAGGCTTCCAGGTGCCAGCCCTGACACCCAGAAGGTCTATTGGAAAAGAATATTGGATTCAATCCTGGTCTACTTGGGGCAAATCTGAAGGACTTTTGGTGAAGTGGTGAAGATAGTTTGAGCTGACAACAGAGCTGCTAAAGCCATTTTTTTGTTTTATTAATTGGAGCTGTTTGTTTTTGTTTTTGTTTTTTTAACTGTCTTTCATTCTTTTTTTTATTTACTTCTGGTTTAGTCATCTCAGTTCTTACTGCATATTCCCCATTGTTCTCAGAACACCCCATTGTATTAGCTGATGCTACCTTGTAACTCATAAGCAGATATTGTCTCCACTTGTTTCTTGGTATGATGAGATTTAATAATCCCTTCTTACTGATTTTTTACTCCCTTTACACCCTTCCTAAGGAACTTAAAGATGGAAGGGGAACAAAATAGCTTAAGGAAATTAAAAATCAATGCAGGCAGTGCTGGAAGGTCAGAATGGAGCATCATTCTCTGTGATGGCAAGAGAAATTATGTGAGTTCCTCTAATTACAGGTTGGGTTAGACCCCAGGGGCTGGAAATAAGGCATTTTCTCTAATGCCAGGGTCATGCTTGAGCTTTGAATTCTGCTTTCAAGCTCTTGGGTGCCTTATTCTGTTCACTCAGTGTCCTCAGATTTCAAAAGAGGGTTTGGCACCTTAGTAAGGGCTGCGGGTGGGCTAACCCCCCCCAGATACTGAGCCACAAAAATGCCCAGAGACACAGGAGTCTGGTGGCCACGATACCTAAGCAGGAGGGGGCTTGGCAATGTCAGTCTGCAGCTCAACCCTTTCCTAACCGTTTTGCCTCCTGTTTTGTCCTTGACCAGCTGTACAACGGGACCCTGAAGCGGGATGTGGAGAGCAGACGCTACAGCTCGTACAGCCAGATGGAGGGCTGGGGCAGCAAGCACTACAGCAAGGCTGTCTGCAGCCCCGCCAGGGCCAGCAGCGACTACTGCTTTGTGCAGAACATCAAGAGCAGCCGGAGCGAGCCTGACCTCTACTGCGAACCGCCCCGGGGCACGCTGAGGAAGAGTCAGGTGGGGGGCCGGGCAGAGCACAAGGCAACCTTGAACCGCCACAGCATCTACAGCAGCTGTAGCACCCAGCAAGGAACTACCAGGACGAGCAAAAAAATGCCAGCACGGGCCCTCTCCTGCCCCTCAAGCAACAAGCCTGATGTGGTCTACGCCCAGCCCGTGATGAGCTGCAAGCAGGACACGGTTTATGGCCAGGCTCAGTCCAGCTCCAAGTAAGTCTGCTGCAGGTGGCTAAATCTGAGTGAACACAGACATGTGCTGCATAGGTCTGTCCATCAGGGCTAGTCGCCTTGAGCTGCTCTATAGGCACTGGAGATCTGCTCACCAGTGCACATTGCACTTAATCACATCCTGCAGTAAAATCTAAAGTGGGTCAGATGAGTCACACTCTTTGACAGTTTATTTCTTTCCATGGGCTATGGAGAGAAACCAATATGCATGGCTCAGTGGATGTACCTGTGTGATGTTGGGCTAGATGATCTCCTAGTCTCTGTGGTGGTATTACCTGACAGCTCCTTTGCAAGATGAGGGTGGGGAAATGAAGAGCAGAAAGCCTGTGGTGCAGTTCATGTGCCTCTCCTGGCTGTCACACTGCTGTGGTTCAACAGTAAAGAAAACTAAAGAATCAACTGACTGTGAAGGAGTTGGTTCCTGAGGGCCTGACTCAGAGCAGAGCTGAGAATCTGCTGAGTGATCATATTAGACCCTCTATCCTTCCACCCAGGTCTTGTTTCATTGCCCCAGAAGGTCTGATTTGGGTCCCAGAAAAAAAATTAATCAGAAATTAAAATAAATAGCCTAATGGGAATAACTTACCTAGCCAGGAGAGAGGAGGGAATGGAAGCTATTCAATTCCTTCCTGTCCAAAGCACCCACTCCCATCAGGGTTAGGAATTATGCAAGAGCAGAGGATGGTTGTTCGTGTCTCAGTGAGCATCAGGTCCCTTCTTGTCAATGTTGCCTACAACAACAAGGGATGTAAAACACACCCGTGAGCTCAGACACCCCCAAGCTGACAGATCTGTGCAACGCAGCAGAGCTCTCACTAAGGAAAACAAAACAAACTAATGTTTCTTTGGCGGAGTTGCAGTGATGTTGGTTCAGAGCTGTCCTGGTGCTGATGGCTGTGCTGCCTCTGGGACAGATGTACCAGCCATATTCTGCCATAGCCTTGAAGAGATTTGGGCTGCACAAACCATAGCCCTGGAAGACTGTGGTTTGCATGTTTTGAACTGCAAAAATATTGCACTTCAAGGCTGCAGTGTTTTATTTGGCTGGAGAAGGAGCATCTGCACTGCTGTTGCTGCATGACTGTCATACGGGGCCTGCTCTGTATGAAGTTATCACAACCCTAGGCTGATGTGACAGCTTGTCACACAAGAAGGTCACAAGCTCATTTCTGGCAGTCCCTGATCCAAAACAGAATTTGCACACTGCAGCATAATTGTCAGACTAATTAACAGGGCTCATAGCCTTTGTTGTAACTTGCACCAAAGGCCTGAGATTTTTCTGTCATTGACTGAAGGCATGATGCAGATACTGAGAAAATCCTCCCTCACAGTCAGCAGTGTGAGCCAACTCATGCCCTTTTCCACATCAGAATGTTGATTTCCAGATTCCTCTGGCTAATTATCTGCTCAGCCACCTTCATTTTGTGTTGAGTAGGAGATGTGTCTCCCAAAGCGTGTATGCCAATAAATGTCACTCGCCTGTTAGCACGTTGTCATGAAACCTTAGCTTCTGTGTGTCCAGTTACTTCATGTTCAACACATGCAAGATTAGCCCTGGCCAACTAGCAGTGCTGATGGCATTGGCTTATTACTTCCAGAAGCTTTGTAATTCCTCTGGAATAGGAAACAGAGACATTACACAAAGTGGAAGCAACTTGTTCTAGGGAATTTCTGACCAAAGAGCGTAGAAGTGCAGTGGGATGGATGGCAGAATGTTTGAACACAGGACTTCAAATGGCTTCTGCCTAAGGAAAATACTGCTTTTGAGAAGCTAGTCCAAGGCAGGCCCTCTCCAAAGTAAGCCCTGCTCTTCACTGTACAACACTCATGGCTGCAGACTTGGTCTTTGCTTTGGAGAGGTCATTTGAAGAGTAATGGCATTTTCTGAAGAGAAGATCTGCTGTTGTGAGAGGAATAGTCTCCAGCACTAGTTGCCCTTTGGTTAGGGAGTGGCTCCATTTATACACTTCTCCTGGCTTGGGGCATGGCTCATCTGGCAGAACTGGTTCTGATGTCTTCAAGTCATAGGCACAACTGGGGCTGTGTCCTCTGAGTAAATCTGATTTGGCTGGGGCACCCCCCCTGATTCACGTGTACCTCACTGCAGGACTAGTTTGGGGGCAGTTTGTGTGAGCACTTCTGCTCTTGACTCAGAGGAGATGAGGTTGGCAACAGTTGTCCCTAAAGTTTCAGGAACATACTAAGCAATTGTCCTCTTTGAAAAAGTGACTGATTTGGAAGGCCATTAGCCCTTGTAAATATCTGGTAGGTCACTGTTAGCCTTGGTCTGCAGTGTGCTTTTGTGGGGAAGGGACCTTCAGAGATGAGTTAGGACCGTGTCTGGTCTCTCTTTGCTGTGTAGGACGATTTCGGGTAGGGAGGATCCTGCACTTGGAAAGCTCAGTCTTCATTTGGGTAGCCCCATCTTTGAGTAGGGAGAGTTTTGCTTGTAGGCATCCCATTATTAACCTCCACATGCAGGAAGAGGGCTCAGCTGGGTAATAGCTGCTTGTAGTTCCCTCTTTGGAGCTCTGTTCCTCCTATTCTAGTAGTTTTTCAGGAAGAGTTTTTGGGCTTTGTAACAAGGATAATTTTGTGCTTGGTTTTTATGCTGCAAATCTCTTGTGTGGGTGGATATCTTGTCTGCAGGTTACCAAACTGTCTCCATGAACAAGAGAAGGACTAGGTAGTTCCCATGCCCTCAGATGTGATCGAGTGGGGTGTTCTCCATTGCTGTGAGGGTGATTACAGTGGGACCTGCAATCCACTGGGTCTGTCTGTGATAGGAAACTGTGCTGTAATGCAGTGACTGGGGAGTGGCAGTTCAGGTGTCCTGTGCTGTGGATCTGACCTCCATAGGTGCTGTGAAATGAAAAGGGAGTCGTTGGATGTTCTTAGGTAGTGAAAGTGGCATGTAGGTATCAAAATACTGTGTATGCAAGAACTGTCAAGCTGTCTGTACTGGTCAGTCCCTCTGCGTTTGGTCACAGTTATTTGATTTTGGGAACTATTCTTGATTGTGTGATTGCTTCCATTTTTTGATCTGATTTTGGCTGTGTAAGACATGGAAGAGCTGTCTGATAACAATATCTCAAAAGAGTTCTTCCTTTTACAAAAGCGACTCTGGTTCATGAAAACACCTTTACTCCACCTAGCTAATGAGTAGTTTAATACCTGAATTATTTTGAGGAAAAAACTTTATTATTCTATGAGAAACTAAACCATGATGTAGGGTTTTACCCCCTTCATAGTGTTTGCTATAGTGATGAAATTTGATTTTTTCACTGTTTCTTCAGATCAGGAGGTTAAGCAGTACTAACTTGCTTTGAGAAACCTCCTCCTGAAGTATATTCTCTTCCACCACCTCTGTCTTTATAATCCTGCCTCAGTGAGAAGAAAGGGACCTTCTGATGTCCCCTTCTGATGTCTCTGTAACCACTTAGGGGCTTAAGCTTTCGTAAGCATTGTGTCATCTTTGAAATAACATTTCCAAGTTCAGTATATCTCTCCTGGGCTCAGGAGTTCATGGTTTATTTTGGTGGCTCCAGCCCAAAGGCAGTTCTCAATGAGCAGCACTCACATTTTGCCACAATACAACTTTCTGGAGTGAGTCCTTGACAGAGCTGGAGGAAGTCTTCTTGGTGTCTAGGCCTCCCTTTTCTTCCCAGAAACCTTCTTTTTGGCATCTCATGACATGCCGCAGGTCTGCAGCCTTTCATCCTGGAAGCAGCTGCTGAAGACTATGCATATTTGCCTGCTTTGAACCATTTTCTCTGATGAGTGGTACTTGGAACGTGCTCCAAGTGACAGTGTGTCATCTCGAGGTAGCCAGCTTTTAGCTAAATAACGTGTTGCAATTCAGCTCAGTCAGGAAAAATGTTTCTACATCCTCTTTGGTCATCAGATAGTGATAACAAGAAGCAGTGAATAAAGGATGTGATCTCTAGTGCATCCTGGAAATTTTGTTTCTCTGTCTTCCTCCAGCTGGAACTTGAGGTACATAAAAACTGTGGCTACCACCGTTGCGTGTAGTGCTTCAGATACCACGTGGACATGGGTCTGAGAGCCCAGGGCCAGGCTGGGTCCTGATACGTGGTGGTTGTGTCTCTAGTCTGTGCAGTACTCAGCTGGTTGTGTGTATGTAACCTCTTCAGCAGATGCCTGTGCCGGAGCTGGGTGCCCCGGTTGCTCTTGCAGAGATGCAGCCAGTGGCCAGTAGAGCTGGAAGCTGAGGTAGGTCAGTGAGTTAGCCCCCGACAAAGTCAGAGCCTCTTGGCTGACTTCAGGGGGAACCCAGGTGTCTGTGCTGGAGGTGTAGTGAGAGCCCAGACTAATCCCACCCCTTGTGAAGGATTCAGGGGTTCTCATTTGTGAAGATGAAGAGGCAAGCTGAGGTGTCTGCAGACATTCCCCAGCTTGAGGGCTGCTGATACCGATCAGGAGCCGTTAATAGACACCTACAGTGTGCCTTGTCTTCCATAATACCACATGCACCTTTGGCCTCATTTTAAGATGTGGATGTATTTCCCCTTTGGTGTTCTCTGTATATGGGAGAAGAGACTAAAACACCTCATTAGAGATCATGTGAAAGCAAGGGTCTCTCAAGGCACCTGGAAATATGTAGTATCTTGGTGCCAATCTGTTAAAGGCCTTGAATACCCTGTAAAGGCTGTTACAGAGGAGGCAGTAAAGGCTGGGGCAGCCCTTTGGATTTTCCATATGGTCATATTTGTGTATGGTGACACCGACTTGGCCCCAGCTGAGCTGCAGAGCCTCTGTAAGCTGTGGATGAAGTTCATGGACAGTAAGTGTGTGTCCTGTGATCATTCATTCCTACACAGGAGCTCAGGCTCTCTGGAAAAAAAACATGCAAAAGTTATTGAAAGAGTCAGAAAAGGTGTTTTCTGATAGAAATCTTGTCTTTGTGGATAAATAAAGTTGACCAATAGCAAAACATAAATTCTCCAGAGCTGTGCCTTCTCTGAAAGCAGAACCAAGAAAGGCACCTTCATTTTGGTTTGTTGTTATTTGGGATCAACTTCCCCTAAAAATGACTGTTTCCCAGTGCTGGCTCTTTGCAGTGTGAATGTCTGCACTGTGCATGGGCATCCAAAGCAATTGCTGCGGAGCTGTGTGTGATGCTGTCCTGGCAAGGTCCATATCACTGTGTATGATGAGGATCCCCTTCTCCATGGCTCTCTCAATCTGTGCCCATCTTCCGTGGTATCTATCCACCAAGAAAAGCCTGAGGGGAAGCTGCAGCTGAGCTTTCAGTGGCATCAAATCCTTGATGCCATATCTGAAAGGTGGACATGGCTCCTTGGTGTGGAGCGTGGCTCTTGGGTCTGTGCCAGTGTGGCCTGACTGTGGAAGGCTTGGATGTGCCGTGCACTCTGTTTTAGTGTCTCCACTCTGATTTTTTAATGAACCATGGAATCTGTTAGAGTTTTCTGGCTTCTTCCTCTCCTGGGACTTGTAGCCCTAGCAACCATGAGGGAGACTTAGCAAAACCTTAATGCAAACCTATCTGCTAATACTGTTATAGGTCTGATGGACAGCCCTGACCCTAAAACTTGACAGATTTATTAGAAAAGATTGCACTATAAAGTAAAATTACTGAACATAACTAGTTCACTTCTAACTCAAACCAGGACATAGACAAAGTGGACAAAAGGCATTAGTATCAAATGAGGGAATTGTTTTTTCTGTGGTACTGAACTTTTCAATATTTTCCTTCCACTCCTAAATCTCATCCTCTAATTTGTCTCCTGTTGAATCATTTCTAATTGAGAAATCCCTGTTCTGATTGCTTCTTTCTTGTGGAAGAACCACCACCTTTGGAGTTCTTCCTACCAGGCCCATTGGCCTAGGTTGGCAATGGTCATGGTCCAAGAATTTGTCTTGGAGCAGGCTGTTGCTCTCGTAGTGTAGATTGGGTTAGAAATATCCCTGGCTGGCTGATGAACAATCCCCCATTAGCATGGGCTTTACCAGGGTGGTTATATTCTCATCTAGGAGAAACCACTGCTTCTACTCAGGTGGCATAATTGAGCCCAGCTGTTTACCTTCTGTGGACTTCTCCTGTTGGCGAGCCAGCAGGGGAAATAGAACCTTCCCCATCTTTTCCCACACAGAACTGGACCTGGATGCCTAGTTTTCCCCTGCTGAAGGAGCGCTTGGCCCTCTTATGGAGTGGTTGTGTGGAAAATTGCCTTCCTTGACTAGCCAGAGCAAGTGGACATCCTTTTTTCTCATAAGAAGTCCATCTGATTGACAGGGTTTCTCATGAATATACGTGCTGTATGGCAAGTGACCTAGTATGTTATTAATATGTCTCCCTCCCCACTCTGCCAGCCCAGGCCCAGCTTCTCAAAGGAGAAGTCCCTCTGGTGCTACTTATGCATCAGTGTCTCAGCTCTGTTCTGTGTCTCAGGAGCATGAAAAAGGCTCAGAGAAAATCACTGCGTTTTGGATACATAACAAAGGTTTCTGAGGTTCCACAGTTTCTAGTTTAAACTTCATCTTTCCAGTTTTGTGTTTCTTTGGTGCAAGTGTAATGGAAGTTTCTTGGAGCCAGGTTTTGACAGAGGCTCAGACTGACGAAAACCATATGATGAAGTGATGTTTTATTGTTAGCGTAGAAATAAAAGTGGAATGAGGTTCATCCAGCCTTAGACACTGAACACTTCTGGTCCAATCTGAGTCTGTCATCAATCATTCCAACAGAGGCAGAGGAATCTCCAGAGGGCAGGTCTTCTTGTCATAGGAAGAATGTCTAAGACACAGGCAAGCTGTTCTTTGAAAACACCTATTTCTGTCCGTTGACTATACAGGTCCTTTAATGAGCAATTTCAAGTGGGTGGACCTTTATACCAGTGAGGGTAGGGGAGACAAAACAGTCTTTTATGCTGTCTTCCAAAATCACAGCATAATTGTGGGGTTTTGATATTTTGTGTGAAAATTGCTGTAGAAATGTCAATACCATTCACTGGCCCATGCTGCATGGAGGGAAAACTTTGGATGCTTAAGGGCAAAATATTTTATCTTACTGTAGGCTGCTGGTGATGGTGACCACACTTGAGTGTCCTTTCTAGACCTTCATTCTTATCATTTCTTTGGCACAGTCAAAATGAGTCTGCATATCCTGTGTCTAGAAGAAGCCACCGTAGTAATATTTAATACCTCAAATGCAATAGGTTCATTTAAAGAACTTATTAAAAAAAACTCTGTGCTGTTAGTGTATTGGATTGAATGAAGATGATCAGCCCCTGTATGCAGTCACTCGTTAGCATGTCATGGAGCAAAAGTTGTACAAAAATCAATGTGGTTCCAAGAGGAACTGGTCTCACTGACCTCTGGGTGAAATTCCCCATTGGTCATAAATGGATCCTGTGCAGGGGGTGCCATCGGTCAGGCACAACGATGGCCTAGCTCTCCTGACAAAGCCTCCACACTTTCTGATTTCATTCACCGTTAAAAAAACATTTCCCATTTGTATCCTGTCACTGCTGAAGTAGTAATAACCAAACAGGAGTTTGGGGTTTGACTCTTCTTAGGCCTGAACTTTGAGTGGTCATTTACTGTGCCATAAATCAATGCAGATGCTGCTGCCAAGAGCTGAGATCCTGCTGCAGCCAGGTGCAGGTCCAAAGTCCAAGGATGCTAAGAAGTGATGGTAACATTTACTAGACTAAGCGAATTAACTGGAAACAGATTAAGTTTTGCAGTTCAGAGCCCCTCCATAGAGTCTGGAAATTTGTACTTTTTCCTGATTTTGTGGTTAAAGCATCAAAGATTATGCTAAGTAAGTACAAGCCAAAGAGAGCGGGACCTTCATATTTCTAAACAAGTGATCTAAACAAGTGGACAAATCATCAGGTGTTTGTATTTTTCACAAGGTTTTGGTCCCGCTCTAAGCCAGAAGTTTTCATATCCTTCCTCTGGAGTCTGTAGGCATATGCTTTACTTATAAAAGGAGATGATGACAGTGGCCAATGTTTATGAAGAGCTTGGAGGCCACCAATGTAAACATACCCTGGGATGTCTCGGTGCTATTATTAGTATAATAAACTCAGTATTTGTCCATCCCATCACTCCAGACGGGCCTGTCATCTTTTCCTAAGTGATCTGCTCTTGCCTCCAAAGACCATCAACTGCTCTCACATTTTTGCTTCCGCCACATCTCACATCAAAGGATCACATGCGGCAGGAAAAGTATCTGCCTACTTTAGATTGTTCTAATGACCTGACAGATGGTTTCACTCCTGTCCACTATTTTTTTTTTTACTTGAGTGAATACTGCTTCTCTGTTCGTTAAACCTCCCACTTTAGATGTGATTAGATATCTAGCACCTCAACTGACCTTTTTTTCTGACTCCTTTGTTTCTGGACAGACTGGACCCATAATTTATTAGCTCTAGTGTCCTCCATTGTATTTTTCCACTTTTATCATCTCTTTTTTTATCAGAGAAACACACTAGGGATTCACTGGGTTGTTTATGCAGTGGTGTGATAATATTTTACATTTTGTAATAGATTCCTTCGTAACAATTCCTTGTACTGACGTGGCCCTTTTGGCTGAGCACTCGACCAATGCTGTACCTCTCTTTAACACAGAATATGTGGCGATGAGATAGACGGTGGCACAATGACCATCCAGAAAGCCATACAACTTCTGTGCTCGTCTGATGACAAATACCAGGCCATGGGTGCTTACTACCTCCAGCACACCTGCTTCCAAGATGAGTCTGCCAAGCAAGAGGTGAGCAAAGTCCTTCAGAGCTCTGCTGTCACACTGTGTGTGACGTCACACAGAATGGATGAAACAGGTTTTCATAAGTACTAAAGGTCCATAGGTCCCCTTGATTTTCATGATGGAGCCTTATATCTCACTAGTCACAGTCAGGAATTAATTAAGTAGACTTTTTCAGCTATTGGTGGCCCCTTTCTCTTAACAGCAGTCAGTCAGGATTTTAACACAGGGGAGTAGTTACCAGACAACAGAGGACATTGTGTCCACACTGTCACCATAAGTGCTGTAACACAGACTGGTGACTCTTGGCAATACAGGAGCAGCCATCCAGATGCATTGTCCATTTGTAGATGTAATTGCAGGTAGTTCCACATGAATCTTTTGCTATCTCAGAGCTGCAGTACCAGAGCCCCAAAAAATTGCCCTAAATCCCATGGTGATCTTTGCTGCGCATTGCTTAGTGACATTTCAGCCATCTTCAGCCTTCTAAGCCAGTGGGTTAGCTAACGATCAAATACAAAGATATGTGATCAAGAATAAGTTCTTACAGTGCAGCTTATTTTTATTATGTTCCTACTCTCTGATTACTGCATGTATACCAACGTGCAGCAAAGGAGGCAGGCTCAGGGATGGATCTGCTGCAGCAAGACTTCTCACAAAGGTTTATCCCCACCCTGCTGTGTTTGAAATTATGCAAACATGGATTTATCAAGATGCCATCCTTAAAGAGGTGGCTTCACACTTCCTGGCACAGCAGTGGAGCTGGGCGTGCTGGTGCAGCGTGGGGATGTACCTCTGTGCCCTTGCTGTGGCTGAACCCAGAGTGCAGGTACCCCAGCCCACATTACAGTCACTAATTCTGGGGTGGCCACACCCTTTGTTACCGTTGAAAACACTCTCTGAGCACTGACCTGTCCCATCACTTCCCACAAAGATGTGTCAGAGCAGGTCTGTGAGTCATCCCAGCACACGCATGTTTTCTTTCCTTTCTGAAAGGTGCTCATTCATTTCCCATTGTCAGCAAATCTCCAGCCTGTGGGCTGGCTTGTGCCAGAAAGGGCTCCATGCAGGATCATGTCCCCAGGAGACCTACTACAGAGGACATCCTGCAGCAGGAACCTTAATCATTTTGGAGAGCTCAGCTGGAGGAACTCACTTTCAAGCCTCCCCAGCATGTGTGGTGTCCTGCAGGTCGGGGTTCACACCCCTTTCCAATGCTGCCCCTGTTAAGTGCCCAGTATGGCCCAGTACTGCTTCTGGCTGACCTCAAATGTGTTTATGCTGTACCGTTACCACCCCTCTAAGATCAGCCTGTGATTTCAGGATGCAGATAAAATTATCACATCAACTCATTATATTGCTATCAGTGGCCTCTACAGATAAGCAGAGCAACATTTTCACCTGATGTAAACTGATGGAGGCAGGTGAAAGTTTGTGGAACCAAGGACATTTACACCAGCGAAGGAGTTAGTCCATGGCCATCACTCTTAGATATCCACTTCTAGAGTTTGAGCTCCAGCCTCAAGGCCAGCACCTTGGTGCTCATGACCTATGGTCTGAACCAGACATGCCATCCTCAAGCTGTAGACGTCTTTTTCTGCCAGGTCTGCTTTTCCAGCTCCCCTGAGTATGGGCCACGTTGACTCTCGGGTTGCCATGACAATTCTAGCTGTCCCGGCGATGCTCTGCAGGCCGTGCTGATGGCAGGATGTCTCTCCTGGTGCAGGTCTATCGGCTGGGGGGAATTGCCAAGCTTGTCGAGCTCCTCCGCAGCACAAACCAGAACGTCCAGCGGGCGGCAGCTGGAGCCCTCCGAAATTTGGTCTTCAAGAATCCAACCAACAAGATAGAAACCCGGCGGCAGAACGGGATAAGGGAGTGCGTGAGCCTTCTGCGGAGGACGGGCAACACCGAAATTCAGAAGCAGCTGACAGGTACACGGCAGACTGCTCAGCCTTCAGCAGGGACCACGCTCCTCCCTGCCTGTGGCCTGTGTTTCTCCAGCACAGAAAGGCCCAGTAGCCATGGTGCTGTCACACCACAAATAGGATGTTTAATGCTCCTGTCACACCAAATGGCAATCTAAAAGAGAAGGCAGAGGACAATCCTGGCCCTCCAATGGCATAGAATCATAGAACTGCTTAAGTTGGAAGGGACCCTAGAGATCATCTAATCCAACCTCCCTGCCTTGGAATTGCTGTCAATCCCAGTAGGGCTGGGCAGGTTATCACACTGGTGTCTCACCCTTTTCTTGAAGGACTGACATGAGTTTGTTGATGCTGGTCACCCTCAGGTGTGACTGAGGTCTTGTGTGCAAGCCTTTACAAAGCCTTTACAAGCCTCCCTGCCATGGGCAGGGACATCTCTCAACTAGAGTAGGCTGCTCACGGCCTCATCCAACCTGGCCTTAAACACTCCAGGGAGAGGCATCCACGACCTCTCTGGACAGTTTATCCCAGAGTCTCACCACCCTCACACTGAAGAACTTCTTCCTAAGATCTAGTCTAAACCTACTCTCCTTCAGTTTCAAACCAGTTCCCCTTGTCCTCTCACTGGACACTCTTGGGAAAAGTCCCTCTCCAGCCTTCCTGTAGGTTCTCTTCACGTACAGGAAGACAGCTGTGAGGTCCCCTCGGGGTCTCCTCTTCTCCAGGCTGCACAATCCCAGTGCCCTCAGGCTATCCTCATAAGTGTTCCTCACATCATACATGCCCACGGGAGAAGTACCTGTCCCAGGTTTGCCCCCGCAGCTGTGGTCACCCTGCCATTCCCATGCCTTCCTGCACGCCTGGTCCCCATCTGTTCCTGGGAAAGGCCTTGAAGTTTGGGACTGGAACTGCTGGCAATCCAGTATGGTTGGGCCGGTTATCTCACTGGTGTCTCACCCTTTTCTTGAAGGATCCACATGTGTTTGTTGATGCAGCTGTGACTGAGGTCTTGTGTGCAAGCCTTTACAAATCCCTGGAGAGATGCCTTCCCCCTGCAACCTAATGGCAATACACACCAACCATGAGAGGAGGGAGGGTGCTTAGACGCCCACCTCCACATGACACCATGCTCCTGGTGCCCACCCTGCCTTTCTCCCATAAGGATGGATAGGGTTTAGGACAGACACTGCACCTTCAGTTCAAAGAAGGACTTAGGTGCTGGAATTCATTTTGACCTAAAGAAAGTTTCTAATGCCTGGTGACCCTCTGCTTGAGCTTGTCTCCCACCTCCATTCTAGGACTTCTTTGGAACCTCTCCTCCACTGATGAATTAAAAGAAGAGTTGATACAGGAGGCCCTTCCAGTCTTGACAGACTGTGTTATCATCCCGTTCTCGGGCTGGTCTGATGGCAGCTGCAACAGGACACGAGAAATTATTGACCCAGAAGTATTCTTCAATGCTACAGGGTGTTTGAGGTGAGTCATCAAGACTTACTGTAGCTTTTGCCTCTTGAAAAAAGCTGAAAGTGTCTAAATCCTCTTAAAATAAGCTAAAGACACACTCACTGTAATGTGTTTATATAAGACTCTTCTTCAGAAAGTTTCTTAAGAGAATATGCAGAAAAAGTTATGTGTAAAATATTTTCCTTAGTACTTTTTTTGTTTAAAGAAGAAAAAAGAAAAAACAATGTTTTGTTCTTGCTAAGTCTCTGATCAAAAAAATGTAAGTTGTTTTGTCAGGGGAGAGGTACAATACTGAAACTTGAGTGTTCAGCTAAGACCGGGAAACTTGACATCTTTTGTCCTCGGATTTTTGAGGCTTCCAGAGAAAATTTCAGTTGCTAGAAAACAAACTGGTTTGGGTTTTAAGTGACAAAAAGATAATTTGCTACGTGGAGAAAACAAGCATCTTCCCACTGATTTTAATAACTGGTTTACTCCAGAGCAGAACCATCGCCCTGGACTTTTCCTGGCTCATTTCATCAAGCGGGTCAGCTACAAAACAGAGGGTGCAGACTGAGCCCAGAGTAGTTTATTTTTTTACAGGAAAGACAGAGCCCTTTTGTAGAGGATCTTTGCCCTGACTTGCTGCTTCTCCTACCACCCTCCTCCACTTGGATGCGAGCAACTTGTCTCACTGGGAACAAGGTCGGGGGGGAGGGAATATACCATGTATAATTAGGTACTTTCATCAACCGAAGCTCTCCCTGAGGGAGCAAGGTACTGAACACACCCTTACCAGACATGCAGCTGGTAGGAGCTGTGTCTGCTTATGAAACGAAATGGATGAATACGGCAGGGGCCTTCTGAGACATGATCCTATCATCTTCTGTGGCTGGGAACTGTGTCTGACAGACAGCAAGCTCTGCTCCCTACCTTGTCTTGGAAGGCACCTTCCCCATGCAGTTGCACGTTGGGGTGTGTGGTGTACGTTGCGTGTGAGGTGCACCACTTTTAAGAACACTTCAAGCCACAGGTGCCACAAAATATCACATCAATATAAGAGAAAGAGTATAAAAGAGCTGATAAAAGGAGCTCTCTATGGAATTTATTCAAGGCAGGCTCTGTCTGCTTAGACTTATCACAGTCCCTGTCAGTAATATCCAGTGCCCTCAGTGAAGACTGCCAGACGCAGGTCAGTGAGGGAGCTCGAAAGCCTTGGGGGAGCAGGACTGGGGAGCAAGTCAAGTGAGGAAAGCAGGGTGGTTGGGTCCAGAGCCCCTAGTCCGAGGGATGAGCCAGGATTGCTCTGACTCACTGCCCTGTCACATCATAATGCAGACATGAGAACCAACCTTGGGTTTGCCCTGGGCTTGAGCCATTGCTGCTCAAGCATTTCTGGATTGCAGATGAATTCATGTTAATGAGCGGGCTGCAAATCACAGTGAACATCAAATCCAGTTCTGGAACGCCTGGAGTGAATGTCTCACAACGACTGCCAGCCTCTGTTTTTCATTTGCAAGCTACAAGACAATAAAACAGGGAAGAAAACAAAAAGAAAAAAAAAACCAAAAACCAACAACAACAACAAAAAAATTTCCTGTTACTGGGAAAGCTCCCCCGTCCTGGCAGCAACCAGTGCTCAGGAATACATTACAACATTACAAACTGGTCAGTCCCTCTGGTCAGAGTGGTTGCTGCTCTCCAGTACCTCTGCCCTCGTTTCCCATGCAGGTGCTGCTGCTGAGCACAGCCCCACGCTCACAGCCACATGCACCCTCCTGATCTTCACAATAACCCCAGACGGTCTTTACTGAGTCTTCTCTTTGGAAACCCCTCCAAGGAGGTGATGAATCTGTGTAATGTCACAGATATAACCTATCCATTGAAGGATATCTTCCATGCAGAACCCCTTAACAGGACATTTTCCTCGATTAAATCAATCCTAAAGAGCAAAAAGAGAGCTATACACCACTGCACTGCTACTGAAGGCCTCTAAAATGAGAGCAGTACACCAGCCTTGCTACACCTCCCAAAATACCTTGAAATTCAGTTACAGTCATAGCCAGAACAGAACCCATAGAGACTAGTAATTGAACTGAACGAATTCTCTCTCCCTCTCCCCTGACATGCTCTGCGATGGCTTTCTTCAGAAACTTGAGTTCTGCAGATATGGGGCGCCAGACCATGAGGAATTACCCCGGCCTGATCGACTCCGTCATGACTTACGCCCAGAACTGCGTGGCCTCTAACCGGCCGGACGATAAGGTAGCAGCTGCTCACCCCGAGCTGTTTGCTAGGGTTCAGCCCCATGCTTAATAACTGAAACTTTGAGGATATCTCTAAATCCCTTTTGAACAAACACATGGGGGTACCGGACTTTTGTGTCCGCTCTTGTCCTTCCAAATCCCAGTACAATCTATTGCAGATTGCAAGTCCTCTGTGCTCTGGGCCTGAAGCAGGGTCCAATTACAATCTACAATTTCCCTTTACTAAACACAGAGACATAGCAAAATATTTTGGCCCCTGAGCTCCCCATATGCTTTCCTCCCTTCCCCTCCCACTTTGGGATCCTTCCAGCATCTTGACCTTCATCTCTTGTGCTTCCTACCACCATGTCTCTTCAACCTGCAGTACTCGAGTACATACACACCACATTGGCATCACATCCAGCAAGAAGTCAGGAGCTTCTTTTTGCCAGTCCCCTAACTATGACTGTGATTTCTGTGTGATTCACTTACCTTGCACAAAATGGTTTCCATAGGCACATTTTCAGGTGTTCAACACCTGCTCTACTAGACAGATGCCCTAAACTCCTCAGTGCCCTGAAAAGTACCAAAAATATCTCAAATGAGCTCAGGATTGAGCAAAACCTCTTTTGGGAATGTCTTTTGCAGCTTTTGCACAAAGTTTGCAGTTTCAGCAGCACATACTCAACACAGTTCTTTGGAAGTGTAACCACATGTTTTGGTGTTGGTTACAGCTGTCGAGTGAAAATTCATTACATCGGGCACTCTGACATCCAGGTAAAGGAGGCTTAAAATCCTGTCTTTGGTAAAAAGTCTCCCCTAATCTGTAGCTGTGACTTGGATAAAGCCACTGAAAGTAGGCTATGGCAAGAGGAAGACTTTCAAAACCTGGCATTTTGTGATGGGCAGTTTGATATAATCACCCTCTGCACTTTCTTTTCCTGTTGAACAACTTGTCTGTGGCAGTGGGACCTGACAAGGTTCACTGGATCTGTCAGCTCAGAGATCCACACTATAGCATTTGGGCTATGTGGCCTTTGTTCATGTCTCCTCTACATCCTTCTTCCTTCCCATGCACTGCTGCCTTAAGCAGGGTCAGAAGCTTGTGTAGTATAACTGCTAAAAGAGCTGATTATGGCCTGGTAAATGTCCTCGCTGTAGCTATAGCAGGTGCTGCTCCATATTTTCCTGCCTAATACGATGCCTGCTTTTTTATTCTGGGGGTGATTTCAGTCTGTGGAGAATTGCATCTGCATCCTGCACAACCTCTCTTACCGCCTGGATGCTGAAGTTCCCAACAAATATACACAGCTCAACCACATGGCCCGGAGTGTTTATATGGACAAAACTCTCACAGGCTGTTTCAACAGCAGGAGTGGCAAAATGGAGGTAAGATGTGCCAGAGAGGGCTTGGGAATGTGATATGTAGCCCCAGGCAGGGGCTGCAAGGGAAGAGCAGGATCTGAGCTTCCAGTTTCTCATGTCTTTGTAGAACGATGAGTATGGTGTTCCTCTTCCTGAGGAGGACTTTAAACCCAAAGGACCTAGCTGGCTTTACCACTCTGATGCCATCCGCACCTACCTGTCTCTTATGGATCAGAGCAAAAAGGATGCCACCCTGGAAGCTTGTGCTGGAGCTCTGCAGAACCTCACTGCAAGCCGAGGACTGGTAAGTTCTCCTCTCTCTTCTGCACACATAACGAGTAATTCTGATTCACAGTAATCAGAAGGAAAAAATGTCCTTGTTAAACCTCAGGGCCCTATTGCAGATCTTCTCACAGTGGATGCTCCACCTGAGGTGTTTATTAATGCCAAAAATTGGGTCTTATGGAGAGGCTATACTCAACATCCCAAGGTTCTATCCCAGATCTGCACACTGGGTTTCCATGTTTCCCAAGGCTGCTGGTCATAACACCAGCATCTCCTGATACTAACACCCTCCCCCTCGGACAGCAGGGAGGAAGTGCCCAGATGTGCACATGTGGACAGATGTCATTAGAGGAGACAGAAGGATGTGCCTGCGCCACTGCCTGTGTGTGTTCTTTAAGTGGGAGGCGGCTCTAATAACAGGGTTGGTTGTGCTGTGGATTGTGGCCTGTCCTCCCATCTCAGCTGCCTGTAAAATAGGTCTGGCAGATGTCCTAAGCTGTAGGTACGGCAGCGTGGAGGTGACACGGGCTGCGTGACGCCGTGGGTATTGCGGGATCTGGGGCACGGCAGGGGCCACGTCACGACAGCAGCTCTGCCTTGCCCAGTGTTGCTGCCACGGGCAGGTCCTTGCAGGCTGCGTTCACGTGGACAAACCTTGACTTGTCTGTTTGTGTCGAACTTCATCAATTCCAATTTAAATAAGATGGCTAGGGAGATAAGGAGATAATTATTCCATGCGCAGGAGCGGCGTGTCACATGTGCCAAGCGTTCCACCCAGAAACACGGAGTGACTCACAAAAGGATTCTTCACGGCCAGCACAGCAGTGAGCTGCCAGCTCTGAGCTGGGAGGTTTTGTTACAGGTCTTTCAATGTGAAATACTTTGGGAACATTTTTTTTTTTTCCATTTCAGCTAAGCAGGGCACTAACAACAAGGTGGCGAAGGATGTCACAGTGTGGGTAGAGCTGATGGGAGCAATGGGGCTGAAGCCATGTGCTCCGTGGAAATTAAAAGCACGTCAGCAGTCAACATCATTACACAGGAATGTCTTTTGGGTGGGGGGAGGGGGGGTGGGAGGGAAGTAAACAAACAGCTCAGATGGTGTTGAAGCAATTTAATTCAGCCTTATGGAGCAGAATGGTTGGAATTTGCCTGGATGTGCACAAGTGGCTTCTGCTTTCCAGGGTCTTGGTCTAGCTCGGAGCTGGAGTTTGGATGGGTTGTTAGTTTGCTGTCACTTGAAGGAGAGGGAAACTGGGGAGAAGCTTACAAAGCTTACTGTAATAATTTAGCTTATAGAGAATGGCTCTGAATCTCTTCCCAAACTCTGCTTTATACATCCCAGTCTTGCTGGTGGGAATCTATAACATGGCACATTTGCCTCCTGGAGCATGGGAGGGAAATTGGGTGTCATACCCCTGGAAGAAGGTTGCCTTTCACCCTTTCCCTCCATTCCCATGTCTCGATTGATGGAGATGTGTCACTGGTTGTGCAACAGTCTCCAGCAGCCTTTCTGATGAGGTAGTAGCTGAGAAGTTCAGTTTAAACTCTATCAGTAGGAGGGCAATTGATTAAGGGGTCAATGCTTCAAGGTCCATGATCACTCATCTACATTGTCTATATCCTGAGGTCTTCTAGATTTACATAAGCAAACACAAGATCAGCATTCAAGATGACTACTTTGGTTTTCAGATTATTTTTTAAAGCTATCCATTAGCTGTTCTTTTTCCACTGCAGCCTATCACTGTGGCATGGAAGGGAGTTGCAAGGGTGTTGTGAAGGGCAAAGGCAACATTGACACAAAGGCAGAACTTCAGCTTTTGGCAGTATCAGTTGAGTAAGCAACTGTGCCCATTCAGGTTCCAAAAAGAGGACAGAAGTACCAGTTCTACCACAGAAGATGAGAGGCTAACTTTGCAAATGCCTGTGGAGAAGAGGGGCAAATGACAAAGCAAGTGGGATTATGGTAGCAGAATAAGATAAGAATATGAATACCTGAGGAACATTAACGTACACAAGTCCATGGGACCCGATGAGGTGCACCCCAGAGTGCTGAAGGAATTGGTTATGCTGAAGGTACTGAAGGAATTGGCTGATGCAGTCGCAAAGCCACTGCCCATAATATTTGAAAAGTCCTGACAGTCAGGTGAGGTCCCCAGTGACTGGGAGAAAGGAAACATCACACCCGTTTTTAAAAATGATAGAAAGGAAGACCCTGGGAACTGCCAACGTCTCAGCCTCACCTCTGTGCCTGGGAAAATCGTGGAACAGATCCTGCCAGAAGATATGCTAAGGCACATGGAGGACAGGGAGGTGATTCAAGAGAATCAGCACGGTTTTACCAGGGGCCTGACCAATCTGGTGGCTTTCTGGAATGAAGTGACTGCATTGGCGGACAAGGGAAAAGCTGTGGACATCATCTGTCTTGACTTTGCTAAGGCCTTTGACACTGTCCCCCTTAGCATCCTCCTTTCTAAGCTGGAGAGATGTGGGTTCAATGGGGACTGTTCAGTGGATAAGAAACTGGCTGGGTGGTCACACCCAGAGAACAGTGGTCAATGGCTTGACATCTAGCTGGGCAAAAGTGACAGATGGTGTCCCTCATGGGTCTGTACTGGGATCGCTGTTGTTTAATATCTTCGTTAATATATTGGCATTGATTGCACCCTCAGCCAGTTTGCTGAGGAT